AGAAAGTAATAGAAAAGGAGGTTTGTTCTTTTTTATTTTGCCCCTTTCTGTGTCAAACAAAAAGCTAGACTCATCCTTTGAAACTTTTCTATATGCCTAAGAATTACTTCTCTATCTATCGTTAGAGAAGTGGTGCATAGACAGAAAGGTTTGTGTACGGCACAGAGTATCCAAGACCAACTCTAGGCACCTGCTGTTGTGTGACTTTCTTCTATTCTGCTCTTAGAATTTCTTGAAGCTCATAACATCGGAGTCTATGTCTGTGGATTTTGTTCTGCAAAATAAAAATTATCTTGCTTACTTTCCATTTAGTAAATTCTGATTCTTGTATTGTGAGAGAAAGGTGCGTTACATGTCTTCAAGGTAATTGTGTTTAGTCATTTCGATATTTCTAGAAAGCATTAGTAAATCCTATATTCAGAATCTAATTCACTATGCAATGTTCTTTAATAGACCATTATGTCTCTATAAAAGTACTATCATAAAGTATTTTCTAAGTGAAAATGAATCTGTTTAGTGATTTTTTTTTTTTCAAAGATAAGTCCAAATCACTTTGTTAGATTTACAAAGAAGGCAAACACATTAAGTAGCAAGTTGCCTGTGAAAAATGATATGTCAGTGTTTAGTTAACTTGTACATACATTGGTTTGGGAGCCCAGCAGACATTTTTCACATTAACATTATACTGTAATGGTTTAATGTACCATAGCAGTTAAAATTAGCACATTAGTAGGATTCTTTCTTCTGCAACAGCTTATCATATTACAGAGCATCACACTGCATGACTTGCTTGCAGACGTTTATTAAGGTGCTATAGAAAAGTCATACCATGAAAACCTGAATAGCCTTGAAAACTAAGAAATGAAGTAGCTAGGGACTGGTTTTAAAATTCAGTGAAACCAAGTTAATGAATTTGTGTTGATATGTACAGTCAAGCTTGTCTTCTACCCCATTCAAATACAGTGACCATGGGACCTGTCGTAATATCTGAGGCAAATTACTTCTTGTTACAGCCAAAAAGAATGGAAAAGGAAATTGCATCTCAGAGGATTATTCTGCTCCATTTTGATTCTGATTTCTTGTCCGCCCACGTTACCAAGCTATCTTTATGTACTTTGAGAGTATATTGGGAGATGAGCACGTCTTGGGTGGTTTGTTTTCTTTCCTTTCCCATCCATAAAATGTAACTAGTTATATTGTGTCTAAAATACATATGATCAGTTACTGGTTGCTGTACATTTGTTTAAAGCACAGATTGGTAGAGTTTGAAGAGTGAAGATGATCTTGATCAGTCTTATGATAGTCCTGTGCGGTGTTTGAGGTGACATATCTTGGCAACAATCACTTTGCTGGTGGCTATAAGTTGTTGATAGAAAATAGCATAAGGCTAGCATTAAAAAGAAGTTTCTGATTATGGTCATTTCTACTATGTCCTCACTTGGGTTGATTAGTGGTCTGCCACAGGTTATCTCAATATAGTGAATAAGATTGCAAAATACTATTCCAGATGTGCAAATGAGATTTTTTTCAGGGGTTGACATGATACATGAGAGAACTTATACCCCCAAAAGTCAAGACAGACAAGTTTGTTCTTTAGGGAAAGACTATGGAGTCTCCTTGATATTTCACAGATGTACCTGGTCATTGTTCTTCAGAGTTGCTTGATTTCTAAATTAATATTTTGTTTTCTTCCTACCTAGTGTTGTTACAATGGGAAATAAGATTTGTGTACAGTTTTGCCTTGCCCATCACTGCACGTTCCAGTTTAGGGCTGGCATCTTCTGAGAGCAGTTGCGGAAAAGCATATGAAACCTGATGGTAGTGTGGGGAATGTGAGCTCAGGAAGGATTTGAATAATATAAAAATAGTCTATATGAAAGAGTCTTATATAATTTTCATATTCATTAGAAGATTATTTTGGACATGTTCAGAATTTTAAACTAGGCTAATTTTTCAGCACCTAAGTAGACACATTGATTTCAGTTGTTGAGGGAAATTTCACACTAAATGTATTTTCTTCCATGTTTTGCATGGAAGCCATAGCCATCTACGTGCTGATCTCATGTCAATATGAGCAAGTTCATTTGATCTTCATTAAACAGAAATACTTTCTTAGGCTAAGTGGGAGCTAACAATATGGGAATTTTTGTTTCGTGTTTATTTTCACTTATCCACCCCTTGGCAATCTGGTTTGAGGCTGAAAGAGTGAAAGGGACAAAAACTTGTTATGCTTATAACTTCTTTTCCTCAAGTTACTGGGAATATTGGCTGCTTCTTCTGACTTTTAGAATTGTAATCAGCGACAAGAAAAAACTGCCAAAGGGATGTTCTCAGAAAATTAACTCTATTAAAAGTTCAGCTGGAAATGAGTGCAGTGTCCAAGCCTTTTATATTTGATTAATGACTAAAACTTTTAAATAATAAATTCCATAAAATAATAAGAAACCATCATTTGCATAAAGAACGAAAAAAATGAGCAAACTTAGTAGCAATTAGGAATTTATGTTCATGCTATGTTACTCAGCTTTGCTTGATTGGTTCCTTTGTCAAGAATGTCCCATTTACCACTTTGGGCTGCTCTTAATGGAAGCATCCTTTTTATGTGTGCTAAATGGAGAACAGCAGTAGCAGTAAGTAAATAGGGTGTTCTTCCCTTTTGGATATGTGTAACAGATTAAGTTGGCTTTTTGCAGTGTGAACAGGTCTGTACTACTGAGAATATGAATAATGTTCGTTTCTATAATTGCTAACATCTGGCTTTCCATAAATCTGTTAAATTACATGGAAACAGAATTAGATTTCTGTGTCATAAGTAAAGCAATTACATGGAACTCTGTAGGCAATGTGGCTTTATAGTCATCTGTGAAATCCTTTTAGTTTTGAACTGTGAAAGCTACCCTTCTAATCTGCACTGCGATCCTTCTACATCTCGTATATATGCTATTTAAAGAGCTCTTAATATGGTAGGGGAGAGAACACCGATGATGCTTGGTGAAATCACCAAAGACAAAGTGAATGCTTCATTTATACCTTTGTCCTTAACACAAGAATACCAGTCAAAGTCTATTGAAAGGAAAGTGAGATATTTTAAAGACTATTTTATATTTACAGTAGCTGTTTGGATATAATTCATTTCATACCAGTTCATTTATAGATCTCTTCATGTCACTCTTCATGGTTTTCACCTCCTATGATACTCTGGCACTTGTTAAACAATGAACTACAAGTTTTAATTTCTCTTAGTGCAACACCTTTTACACCACTGATAGTGGACCTTTCAAGTACTCAGTGCTGAGCTATGCATTAGAGCAATAATGTTCTTTTTTGGCAATTAAGACTGTCAGGGCAGCAAAATACACCATTTTGGGGGAAGCCTGTGTGACGAGCAATTGAATCATGCTGTCAGGCCACTGAGAACACCTCTGTCAAACGACTGGCCCACAGGTTAGCCCAGGAGTGAAGCCCTTCTGCAGTATAATTACCTCCAGCTTCCCTTTGGGTCTATAACCAAAAAGAGGATCAGCTATTTTCTAGCAGCCCAGGCTTCTGACTTTGTTGTGCAGGTTCATTTTTGCATTTGGTCAAATTCAAGGGCACTATCACTTTTCCACTTCCGTTTCCTGGACTATTTGTGAATTGAAATCAGGAATTTTACTAACCAGGTCAGAGGGAATTTAGTGATTTGATTGTTACAGAGTTTCCTTCAGCAGATTGAGAGAATTGAGAAAGTCTTTTTAAGATCTGGCTTTCTGAGGAGTTGACTCATGTACTCATGGCACTTGTCTAAAAAGTAGGGCAACTGGCCATCACATCCCACCTAAATTAGACTTTAGGTAATTTTTCTGTCTAAATTCTATTGAATTTTAAATGTGTTGTTTTAGAGAGGAATTAAAAATTCTCTTGGGTAATATTGAACAGTTAAAAATTTCATGCTAGCAATAAGGTCATTTTAAATAGTAAGTGTGAGGGTTCTTCCTTGTGGTTTCTGAATTCATATAAAAATATTCTGGAATTTTCATGACAGAAAGCATCACATACATCTAAAGGATTTTCTTCTTCATCCTTCCTCCCACTGTTGCTTACAGTTTTATTGTTCATGTTGGAACAGGAGACACACACCAGTTGACTGGTATTTTATCTGGACAATCTGTCAATATATTGTTTAAAAAGAATCCAAAGTTATTTTCTGAAAGAAATACCTGTTTTTAAGAATGTGCTTAAAAATCTCATGATTTTCACTGCAAGAAAAAGAATGCTGCATTAACTCCCTAGATAAATTCATATTGCATGATTATATTTTACCCTCCGAAAGCAATTTTAATGGGATATTGTAATTCACTTTTCTCTAGTGTATAATGTTTTCTTTTGTTACTTATTTCTTTGTGTCATTGCTGAATCATACTTTTCCTGCATATCTTTGTTCTAAGACTTAAAAGGAAAACCTGTATGAGGTGCCTCTGATTTCTTTTTTTTTTTTTTTTTTTTTTTTTTTTTTTTTTTTAAATTCAGTTGTATCTTCCAGCAATGGGAAAAGGACACAATTGACCATTTTTAGTATGGGAGATGTTGATCATGCTAGGGACTTATGAAGTATAGTGCCCTTCTACTTTGGTGTAAAATCCAGAACAGAGAGTGGTCTAACTGACAGGAAGTCACTCAGATTGTTCACTAGTTTCCAGTCACTGGGAAATCACTGTACACCCTTGCCTGAAGGTTCAGATTCATCATTGATATACAATGCCACTAGCTATGTCAGACTCAGCATTTACAGTTAAACCTGCTGGAGATAGTTTAAGAATTCTTGATGGAATCAAAACAATCACTGAAGAGTAACCTAAAAAAGTTAATGTTTGATGTCTAGCAAGTAAATATGGAAAATATGAGAAAGGCAGCACCCTCTTCCACCTGCAAGGCAGATGAGCAATAATTACTTAATACAGAAATAAAATCTGATCTGTGAAAAAAAATGTACAAAGCATTATAAATCTGCTGTTTTGCAGATATTGATGAGTGTGCCTTGAAGACCCACACCTGTTGGAACGATTCAGCCTGTGTGAACCTGGCAGGAGGGTTTGATTGCCTTTGTCCTTCTGGACCATCTTGCACTGGAGACTGTCCCCATGAAGGCGGCTTCAAGCGGAATGGGCAGGTGTGGACCCTGAGGGAGGACAGATGCTCCGTTTGTTCCTGCAAGGTGAGATCCAGCTGGTCTGGGTTTCAGAAATCCTTTAATTCTCTGGACTCATGTCAGAAACCCAATATTGCACTGCCACTGGTGTTGGCAAAAATATTAGCCTAAGCCTGAGGCACTGAGGAAAAAGGTAAGCTTTGCTGTAGGCACAGAAGCTGTGATGGGGGAAATTATGCTGCAAAGTCATCTTTTTTTCTTCTGTTTCACGACCACAGACACAGCTGAACAATTGCTAATCCTGCTGAGCTTCTACCATGTCACCTTGTGGGCCAGAGCCACTCAGAGCATGCCTTGATGACGGTCTTTCATTACCCTTTAACACAATGTGCAGGCAATTAGCATGCTTACTGGAAATGTTGAAAACTGTTTTCAATTTCTCCTTCACATGAATATGCATCTCTCTGAACAAGTAATGTATTCAGCCATCTTCCTGTTGGTGATGTTTCCCTTTACTTGGAATAATGTGAATTAATTGAGTGAGAAGGAAGGCCTGAGCATCAGTCAAAAGTTAGAGGACCTAGCAGCAGGCATTTAATTTCCTCAAGTGAAGAAGGGTGAGAGCCAGCTTTCTCCTTCTCATCCCAGCTTGGCTGTGTTGGCAGCTCCCCCACTTGAGCAGTGCAGCACTCTCTGCATCTTTGGAGAAGCTGTGCTTACTATAAGTAGATCTACCTTAGAGTTAAAACTTAGATCAGTGTCTTGGTGTTTTCCCTTGGAAATTGTCAGTTCTTTTCTGAGTAGGGTAACCAAATTAAAAGAACATTTGACTCTGCTTTCTTTGTTTTCACTAGTTAAAAGAGGAATGCTGTCATTGAATTTAGAAGAATTTTAGAAATGCAGCAATCTTAGAAATGGTTGATGGTTTATGTCCCCTTTGACCTGATGTCTTCATAGCACTGGTAAAGCTGTCCTTAGACACAGCAGAACACTATTGGCCCTTGCATAAGTGTAAGTAAAATGAGCTATGAGAAGCTGAACATGGAG